AACATTTGAGCTACAAGATGACATAGTAACATAATAGTGACTTCAAAATCCCTTTCTCAGTTTTGGATAAGTCTAACAGAATGATATACAAAAGGAAAAATATGAAATTGAACAAATTTCTGAAGGAAACTAGAGCTAAAATACATCCGGCATCTTCTCAATAGGATTGCAAAAGAAAATCTTTCTCAGCACCACATGGAACTTTTACAAAACTGACCCTGTATTGTGCCAAAGAGATATTGCAAATATATGTAAAAAGACAGAAACATTCTTTTATAAATAATAACATGATAAAAGCAGTAATTGTTTCAAGGACTATAAACAAGACACAGACTCAAATGGAGAAAACAGCGAAATCCTATATAGAGGCAAAGAATAAATCATAGAAACAATTAATAATTGAAAATGATAATGATGAAATAATATGACAAAATCAGATCATATTATTATTTATTAGAAGCCAGTTTTCCCTGTAGTCTTGAAAATTGAAATCTTCTATTTTCTACAAATAAAACCACTCTACTCCAAAGGTAGAGTAATTTTATCTTTCAGAAATAAGTTCTCCTAGATATTCTCCTCATCTTTGCAAAAGGCAGCTAAAACTTGAAATCTTCTTTCCTTTTCCTTTTCTTCCTCACTGCCTCATATTCTGTCTTAATAGCATAGATCCAGACCCAAGCAGAATTAATTTTAATCTGACAGAGCCATCCAGACAATCTCCATTTCAAAGAACACTAGGTTCCAACATTACATTTTCTCTTTTTCCTCTCTTAGTGAAAGCTAAACATTGTAATGAGGTACAGTGAGTAAGAAATCGGGGGGAAAGAGAACAAAGATAATCTAGAACCTTTTCTACATCTGATTTCCATAGGAAGTGGTTGTATGGTAGAAATAATGGAAGAAGGTAAAGGACTTGAGCTGAAGGAGAAAGAAAAGGAGGAGAAATTGTGATAATGTTTAGAAGGTATTGGAACTGTAAAGGTCAGACTAAACTTGAGGAGGAGAAACAGAAGTGCTTGATCTTCAGAAGATGTGAGCAGAAGGACATGAAGAGAAAGAAGAGTAAAGAAAGTAAAGAAGCCTCTCTACCAACCATTCACTAGACTTTAGTCTCTTTAGCCTCCCCTTATTTTTAGTCTCTTTAGCCACCCCTTTAGCCTCCACTTATTTTTCTAAGACTGACAGACTAATGGTTTAAATTTGGAATTTCAAAGTTCTCAGGATGATAATATTGTTGCTATCAATGGTAGTGATAGTTCTGGAATGTGCAAAGCTGACTTTTCAGTCAGATAGTCAGTAAACTATCATTAATTAAACACCTTACTATTGTAGGGTACTTAATAACCTACTGATTATTATATTATTATTATAATTTTGTAATTCACTGGGGTTACAGAGAAAGGTAACAAGGAGTTCACAGTCTAACTGGGGAAATGAAAGGTGAAAAACTATGTACAAATACAATATATTCAGGACGTGCTGGATATAATGAACAGGGTGAAGGCACTAAGATTAAGGAGCACTGGGAAAACCATGTAGAAGGTAGGGCTTTAGCTGAAACTTGAAGGAAACCAGGGAAGCTAGGAAACAGAGATGAGGAGGAAAAGAATTCCAAACATGAAGGATAGGCAGGGGAAAAGCCTGGAACCAGAAGATAGAGGATATTGTGTGAGGAACAGCAAGGAGGCCAGTGTCACTGGGTGACAGAATACATGAACAGGAGCAAATTTAAGAAAAATGAAAAGGTGGGAAGGGATCATAATATAAAGGAGATGTTGAAGGCCAAACAAAGGATTGTATATTTAATTTTAGGGGGGATAGGGAGCCACTGGAGTTTTCTGAATGGGGGAGGGATGATATGGTCAGATCCTGCATTTTAAAAAGATCAGTGTGACAGCTGAATGAATAGGAGAGGGGTGAGACTTGAGGGAGGGAGACTAACCGACTGGCTATTTCAATGAAGGACTGAATCAGGGTGATAGTAGTGTCATAGGAGAGAAGGGTCATATACAAGAGAAGTTAGAAATGATAGGACTTGACAACTGATTGCATATTAGAGGCAGCTCAGTAGCATAATGGATAGTGTGCCAGATCTGGAGTCAGGAAGTCCAAAGTTCAAATCCAGCCTCAGACACATGCTACTTGTATGACTCTAGGCAAATCACTTAACTTCTCTTTCCCTCAGTTTTCTCATCTGCAAAATGAGGATAATAATAACACTTACTTCCCAGGATTGCTGTGAGGATTAAATAAGATAATAACTGTAAAGTGCTTAGCACAGTGCCTGGCACTTAGTAAGAATTATTTAAATATTAGGCATTTATTATTGTTGTTGTAGTTATTATTGTTATGATGAGGGTGAGAGTGAGGATTTGGTGATGACACAGGCTGAGAATCCAGGTGACTGAGAGGATAGCCTTTAAAATAATAGAGAAGTTTGGAATAGGGAAGAGTTTGAGGGGAAATATAAGTTCAGTTTTGGACATGATGAGTTTAAGATGTTTAGGACATATCAAGTTTAAGAGGCCCAATAGGGTGTTGGAGATATGAGACTGGAGCTTAGGGCTGACTAAGTTGATCTGAGAATCATCTTCAAAGCAATAATTGAAACCATGGAAGCTGATGAGATCATCAAGTGGAATATTATGGAGGAAGAAGAAAAGAAGCCAGGACAAAATGCTATGGGACACTTGTGGTTATCAGGTGAGAACTGTATGAAGATGTAGCAAAAAGAGACTTAGACGTAGTCTGACAGACAAGTAGGAAGAAAACTAATTGATAGTAGTGTTATGAAAATCTAGAAAGAATAAAGTATCAAGGGGAGGTGATTATGTCAAATGCTGCAGAGAAGTTAAGAATGAGCATTGAGAAAAGGAAAATAGATTGGGCAATTAAGAGACCATTGACAGCTTTGGAGACAGCAGTTTTGGTTGAATGATGAATTTGGAAGCCAGGAATGTAAAGAGTTAAGAAGGAAGTGTAGACACCTATTTTAGAAGATCTTCTCAAGGAGTAGGGAAATGGGGATGATAGGTAATGGGGATGGATAGATCAAGTAAAGATTTTTTGAGGATGGAGAAGATATGGGCATGTTCATAGGGAATAGAGAATTAGCACATAGAGACGGAGCAGATGAAGATTAGTGAGAAAGTAGAGATGAGACTGAATCAAGACAGTAAAATAAGAAGTGTTACATCTAGATATCCCTCCATACCTCCTTGATATGCATTAGATTGAATTCTAATCAGGAAAACCAAGAAAAAGTCACTTTACTCAAAGTCCTTTTTATTAGACATGGTAATTTACCATTTTAAGCTCTATTAGTCATATTCTATTCCTGGTCATAAGTCTGTCATTCCTATATTTTAAGCTACAGTGCAGAAGTCTGAATCTCATTATCAGACATCACTTTTTTAGGTAGTTATTTGTGTTCTAAAACAAAATTTCTCTTCTGTATCCTATGCCATCAAAAGGCAACAGTAAAAAAGACTAGGGAGGGGCAGCTAGGTGGTGCAGTGAATAGAGCACTGGCCCTGGATTCAGGAGGACCTGAGTTCTAATCCAGCCTCAGACACATAACACTTACTAGCCATGTGACCCTGGGCAAGTCACTTAACCCCATTGCCTAGCACCCCTCCCCCCCCCAAAAAAAGGCTAGGGAAAAACTATATGTCTATCAACTGGGAAATGACAAAACAAATTGTGGTTAAAAAAACAAAACAAAACAGGTATCAGTGGATAAATGTGAAGGTGTGATAAGATCCTATAAGAAGAGAGTCATGAGTACTAAAGCACAGAACAAGCTAAGGCTAGTGAGGAAAAGTAAACATCATAAAAAGTTTTTTTTGTTAGTTTGTTCCAGTTTATTTTGGGGAAAACAGGAGGATCAAAGAAGGGGTAAGGGATAGGAACACTGTCCTAGGTGGATGTATCTAATATAAATGATGATGGAAGGCTGAGCTTCTCTACTTTTATTTTGTTTCCTTTAACTCCCAAAGATAATGATCTTTGGATTGCCAAGGATAAAATAGAAAAGTCTAATTCATCATCATTGATGCATGTAACTATTTTTAGTGTACTAGCCTTGGCTATGTGATCATTTGGGGAACACTGGGGGTGTGTGGTTGAAAAGTCAAATTGGAATGGGATAATCACATTAGAACACATTATAGAACATCAATCATTACATTCTTATGTATCAATGGTTTCCTCAACTGCAAGCTACCTCAAAAGATCATTTTCTTTCTCTCTTCAACAAAACTGTACATAAACACCATTCCTTTTCATTCAGAATGAGTGTATTCAATTTTTGCTTATCAAATATGTCACATACCAACATCAAGAGAATGTCTAGGTTGCCCTAAATGCATTGGTTTTTAACTCTACTAAACCACACCATGTTTAAAAGACAAATTCTTCACACTTTTACATTGATTTATAATTATTTTCTCTATGTTTACTAGTATCTCCATAAGACAATGGAGTGTGTAGAATAAAATATAGTATAGAAATATTTTTGTGCGTTAGACATGCTACCAAAAGATAGTGGCCAGCTGCATATCTACAAAGTGCATCTGATTCTTAATTCACTATTTAAAAGAATCCTACAGTGATTTATTTTGGGATACAAATTATCACCCCTAATTTATCTGTTTTACAGGTTTGCATTTTAATTTTAGATAAAGGTGGAGTTGGAAAGGAATCAAGCTCCAATGTGTGAATCCTATTTTCATTATACTGGCAGATGCTCATTCAGCTTCTATCTTAACAGGTCATGTTTTCTTAAGGTATGGCACAACTGTACAGGTTTTTTTTTTTTTTACAGAAAGTATAACTTCAAATGTGATTATCAAAGTTAAAAACAAAAAGTACTTTACTGAATTAATCTTATTTCTCTCCCAGAAAAGCAGCAGGATAATCCATCCCAGCACTTTTTGAAATACCATTTCAAGCGGCACAAAAACCCTAACTGAACTTCAAACCTCACATTCCATACTTACTTCTCAGTGTCAAAGTATGAAGACGTATGTGAATGAGGGACACCTGCCACAGCAAAGTTACTGCTTCCAGTATCAACAAGAATCTGCAGCTACAAAAAAAGAAAAGAAAGAAAGAAGGAAAAAAGGAGAGAAATCATGGTGTTATTTTTGCTAGATTCAATACAGCAAGGACTATATCCATAATGTAGGGCAGTCGATAGAATTCCAGACCTGGAATCAGGAAGACTCCCTTTTCCTGAGTTCAAATCCAGCCTTAGACACTTACTAGCTATGTGACTCTGGGCAAGTCACTTCACCCTGCCTGTCTCAGTTTCCTCATGTATAAATAAGCTGGAGAAGGAAATTACAAACCATTAGCATCTTTGCTAAGAAAACCCCAAATGGAGTTGTGAAGAGTTGAACAGGACTAAAAAACAACTCATCAACAGTGTAAGTATGTTTTTAAGCTTTCAAAAATAGTCAGTAAAAGTGAATATCAGCTTGAAAAAGAAATGGCTATAATAACATTCTAAACTCTAACTACAGATTGTCGGAGAGCTAGAATCAGGGAAATTAAGATATAATTTGTCAGGTAGGTGAGACTATATACCCTCATTCAGTACTTTAAAAATATTGAAATATCATTAAATGACTATTTTAAGCCACCACTTATTATGCTAAATCAGCTTTATTTTTCCTTTTTAAATTGACTTTCAATGTGAATATAACTAAGAAGTTTAAAATTAAATTAAAAAAGAAAGAACTAAAGAAAAATAGAATCTAAATATGAAAGGAACCACAGAAATCATTTAGATAATGATTAAATGCAGAAGTATCCACATACTAGTAAGATAAAAAATTAATTTTATCATTTACATAAATCTATTTCAAAACCAAGAGAAAAACAGTGAATGTGTAGTCTTTGTATTAACTTACCTTTTATGTCAACATAAGGAGTTCATTGATGGCTTGTTCAATTTCTTTTTCTGAAATAGGGCTATTTAAGTATTCTATTCTTTTGTTAATCTCAGCAATTTATGTTTTTGTAAATATATCCATTTCACATAGATTTGTCAGATTTATTGGCATATAATTGTGCAAAATAACTCCTAATAATTACTTTAATATCCTCTTTATTGGTGTGAATTCACCCTTTTCATTTTTGATACTGGTAATTTGATTTTCCTCTTTTTTTTAAATCAAATTAACTAACGGTATATCTATTTTACACATAATAATATGCAAGTTAATACAAAGAAATCCTGTAGTCCATTACGTGAATGTGTAGACTATCTGCCTATTTCTCCTAAGATGAGGATTTGCTAACTGCCTTGGACTGACAATTTCTAGTTCCCTATAAAAGGCCCAGTGCCTTGCCAACAGTATCACAATTCACAATATGTGAATTGTAAGCTGTATCAATCAGGTTTGTTTTCTTTTATGAATGTCCGTTTCCTAATCTTTGGAGTGAGAATGCTACTATCTACTGCATATGATCACAGATAGGTATAATTAGTCACCTAATTGACTATTTAGACTTGTGTTATACTGTTAGGCACCTGGAGACCCAACTCTGCCCTCAAGGAGCTTAAATTTTAGCCATGAGAAAGGGCATATATATTAAAAAATAATACCAGACTATATGTGCATTAGAGAATGGATGAGTTTAATGGGTGTTCAAATTAGGAAATCACTGAGGAAGCAGTCTGAGAAGTTGAACAGAGCTTTGAAGAAAGGGTAGGATTCAGACAAGATGGAAGGAATGTGCCAGTGTGGGAAAAGAGCATGAGTAAAGTCATGAAGATATAAATGATATGTTTGAGGGACAATGAGTAGATCTGCATGGCTTGAGCAAAAGTTTTATGTCTAAATGGTGGGAGATTAATTATGACAGTGGCATAGTTCCTAGAGAGGCTTCCTAAATACTTCTGACCCCTTTTCAAGTCATTTATTTTTATTAATATTCCATACCAGGTTTCTTTGTATTAACTTACCCTTTATGTCAACATAATGAATGAGCTAACATTCTCTTTAAGCATGGACATTTTCCAAAACAAAATGGGAAACTCTAAAACTACCTTGTGAAAAACTGCATCTGTATGAGAGTTCTGTTTTATTATATAGATCAATTCTTCAATAAATTCTCATGATTTTTAGATTTAAGCTCTGGAAAATTCATCTCAATACTAAGGAATATGCGATTAGGTACATTATCTTCTGATAAAAGCAAGCTACTTAGCCTCAACAAAAGACGATTTGTATGGTCTGCATAAAATTCAAGAAGGTACAGAAGTATCTTTTTTTATTTGAGGATGAAATCAGGAAGACAGGTAAACATTTGAGTGATATCTCAAGTGGCAATTTTGTCATGTATCAACAAATGGATGTCAACATAGCAAACAGGATATTTTCCCACCCAAGATATACATATATATGTGTGTGTGTGTGTGTGTGTATTTATATATATGTATATATGTATATGAATATATAAAATCTAAATTGACATCGAACATACAATAAATTCATTGTTGACATAAAAGTCTTGGACTATGACACTAAAGACTTTTGTTGTTGTGAAGAGGAGTTTTATTTTACATGAGGGATTATCTTTAAAAATAATCAATTATATATATTTAAAACATTTATATTTTCTAGTCATTAAATTCAATTATCTTTGAATTTAAAAAATCTTCCTCTCCTTATACATTGTTAGTGGAGAGAGTATGTCATTGACACAAACATTTATCATGTCTGGATGGCAAATACATATAAAACAAAGCACAACAAACTGCATGAAAATCACAGCCCACTCTGCATCCACACAAAATTTGCTATTCAAGATGACATTTTGCACCAACACTATGTTTATGCATAATCAGACATAACTATGGCAAACATTGTACTATAGTCTTCATGTTTGTCCTCGTTACTAGTGGAAATTTTCTTGGCAAACATTCCTGGCTTTCTTTTCTTGGTATAGAATTCCACCTACAATCTTTACATCATACCATGAAGAGAACCCTTTTATAATGCCCCACCCCATAAGTGAATTACTGTCATCCCGTTATTGGAAGGCAACTGAGAAAGAGGCAGAACTATTTTAGTGGAGTGAAGGCAAAGACTAATCTGAGATCTCCAAAGTTCCCCTCCAAAAAACTTTAAAATAATACCTCAAATTAAATTCTTGAGTGGCAGAGCTAACAAAAGGTAGGGGTGAATCAATTTTCCAGCCCAGGACAATTTAGGAAGTTGGCAGGAAAAGTCTGTTTCAAGGGGTCAGACAACTCTTCAGAAGGAGATTACAGGGGACCCTTTGCTAGCATTGGGTGCAGGACTCTGTTGCATTGTTCATACTCAGTTCTGGGTCTTTGTCTCAGAGCTAAGAGGAGCTCTAGCTCACTAGAGCTTGCCATTACAAGGATGTTGGGGCCCTGGTTACAGTTCCAGAACACACAGACCAGAACACAACAAGCCAGGGGAGCAGTGACCACATCTCTCCTTAGATCATACTACCTTGGAAGAACTGAAAATCTACAAACCCCAAGGGTTAGTTCTAAAAACAGGAGCAAGAAAATCCTGAAGCTTGGGAAAATGCCCCCTCACCCCAGGAGCAGAGCCCAACTTTAACATAAAGTTGTAGATGAAGAAATAGGCTGGAAAAATGAACAAACATCAAAAGAAGAACCTGATCATACAAAGTTATTATGGTAACAAAGAAGAACAAGATATAAACTCAAAAGAAAATGAAATCAAAATAGGTGCATACAAAGCTTCAAAGAAAAATGTGAATTGGCCACAGCCTCCCCACCCCGCAAGAATTCCTGGAAGGGCACAAAAATGGTTCTAAAACTCAAATAAGAGAGTAGAGAAAAAATTGGGAAAAGAGATGAGACTGATACAATAAAATTATGAAAAAATGTCAACAGCTTGGTAAAGGAGGCACAAAAAATAGTGAAGAAAATGACATTTTAAAAACAAACATGGACAAATGGTAAAAGAGGAAAAAAAATCCACTGAAAAGAATGCCTCAAAAAGCAGAATTTTGTTAAGTCATTTCACTCAAGTCCAACTCTTTGTGACCCCATTGGGGTCTTCTTGCCAAAGATATTAAAGTGGTTTGCCATTTCCTTCTCCAGGTCATTTTATAGCTGAGGAAACTGAAGCAACAGGATAAATGACTTGTCCAGGGTCATACAGCTAGTAAGTGTCTGAGGCCAGAGTTGAATTTAGGAAGATGAGTCTTCCTGACTTGAGGCCCAGCAGGCTATCCAATGCAAAACAGAAAAAGAATACAAAAATTCACTGATTAAAAGAAGTCCTTAAAAAGTAAAATTGGCCAAATGGAAAAGGAGGTAAAAAGCTCACCAAAAAAAATTCTTTAAAAATTAGAATTGGGCAACTGGAAACTAAAGTCTCCATCAGAAATCAAGAAACAATAAAACAAAATCAAAAGAATGAAAAACTAAAAGAGAACATGAAATATCTCATTGGGAAAACAACTGACCTGGAAAATGATCAAGAAAAGATAATTTAAGAATCATTGGAGGGGCACCTAGATGGCACAGTAGATGCAGCACCGGCCCTGAAGTCAGGAGGACCTGAGTTCAAATCCAGCCTCAGACACATAACTCTCACTAGCTGTGTGACTCTGGGCAAGTCACTTAACCTCAATTGCCTAACCCCCCCTCCCCCAGAAAAAAAGAATCTTTGGACTACTTGAAAGCCATGATCAAAAAACGAGCCTAAATGTCATATTTCAAGAAATTTTCAAACTGTCCCAACCAGAAGGCAAAGTAAAAATGTAAAAAATTCACCAATCACCTCTAGAAAGAGAGCCCCAAATGAAAACTCCTAGAAATATTATAGCCAAATTCCATAGTTCCCAGTTTAAGGAGAAAATAATGCAAACAGTCAAAAAGCAACAATTCAAATATTATGGAGCCACAGTCAGGATAATACAAGATTTAGCAGCTTCTATGTTAAAGGATTAGAGGGCTTGGAATGTGATAAGAATGATGTACTAGGAAAACTGAGCACAATCCTTCTGAGGAAAAATGGATTTACAATGAAATAGAGGACTTTTAAGCATTCCTGATAAAAAGACCAGAGC